TTACCCCAGTCACTGTTTTCTTGCATAGAATATCCCCAAATTTCATTTTAACATACCTGAAGTATGTTTTGTGTTATGGGTGAATAAAAAATGCATGTGCTTAAGGTTGCCCCTCTAACTAGGTTCTACAGCAATAAATATTCTGGGTCCCTAACCAAAATCTTCTAGAAAAATATTTAGTTGGCTTTGAGTAGATGCACATGAGATATTGGCATGGTGGAATAATTTGCAAGATCTTTCAGTGAGGGTATTAGCATATAAATAGCAGATGCAATGACGACCATCACAGCTGAGTACATTTAATTTTTAGTTTATAAGATAGAATGGGTTTTTAAATGCATAGCCATCAAGCCTGCTGAAAGACAAATGAAGTTTAGAGTTCACTTGTCTGAGGATGTCTTACATCATTTTTTTTTTAGAAAAGGGAAACAGGCACGCATAAAACTGAACAAAAGTGATTTCTTGGGTGAAAAGTAATTGAGATTGCAAACCAAGTTAATTAGACCATGCAAAATTTATTTAATGGTCCCAGCTGTAGTTTGCAAGTGGTGTTTTAGTGAGTAGATATGACTTCTTCATGTGCTATCTTTTCTCTTGCTTCTTTTTCTAAGATAATTAGTAGTGGCTGTACATCTAGTCCTGTAAACTGATTGCATTGTATATTTCAGTAATTTTATTGCTTGCTTTAATTATGATTGCAGAGACTCGGGTTTTTAAATCCTCTTAACAGAATGTAGCAGTCAATTTGTATAAAAGTGAGCAAAGGATCAAGGGCTTTTCTTCACATCTTTCCAAGTGCTGTGTGGTGGGTGGAGGCTTTTTTCACATTTATTACTGGTTGGGATGGGTGAACAAGGCCCTTAACTGGGGCTCTGGTTGCCCTGAGCTGCACCAACAGATGGAGGCTGTTGGAGCATTGACTGCAAAGTAAAAGAAACAATTGCATTTCTACTTGCATCCTGTGCTTTTTCCAGGTTTTTTAATAATGCAGAGTAATAAAGAAACATCTGTTTTTTCAATTTTTTTTTTTTTAATGAGTTAGGGAGGAAATTATTTGATTGCACTCGTCTAGTTGGAATAGTCAGCACTATTTTCAGTTTTTAGTGAAAAATCAGGAAAATTGTGAAAATGTTCTAAGTGATTATAGTGAAAAGAATACCTGTATATTTTCTGTCTTTTTTTTAAACCATATTCTCATATGTAAATAAGTCCAGCTCAAGACTCTGAAAATTGCCTAGCTAAATCCCATTTCTTCTCACAGGAATACAGCTACCTAGTTAGTGATCCTACCATGTTAAAGAAACCAACAACCAACACATAGTTTTGCAAATACATCATTCTATGACTTAGATAAATAAATACAAAAATAAATACCAGCATTTTAGAGCAGATTAACAGGGTAAAAATTCCCTTTCCCTTGGAACTTGAGGGGCAGTGGTGGTGCAAGCAGCCTCTGATGTCTGGGGATCTGGTGGACCATTCTCTAGTGACAGAGAGGGGCTGTTCACCCTCCATCTGTGCTAAGACTGTGTTCCAGAGTTTCCTCATATCACCTGATAATTAGAATGGATTTGAACCCAGGAGCTTCTTTCTCACATTCTTTGACAGGTGATTGAGAAACAAGCAGTTTTGTGACTACCTATCTTCGAGGTATTTAATCTTGTACACTACAAGAAAAGCTTTTCATTGTGGTATTTATCACTTGCTCTTATGCTTTACTTCCCTTCAGCCATGGCACACTAGAAATTTCATGTTTTTATCTTAGTCTCCTTTTTCATGGTTGCAAGTAACCCCTCATTCCTAAAGGATTATAATTTACTTATTTGGCCACTTAAAACTACTGTCTTAAATATTTATTTCTTCTGATTTAATGGTGGATGGTTTATTTTTATTTTTTTAATTGACTGAAAAGGTTTTCCTGTAGTGGAAGCATAGATAGGAGGGGGTTGAGCTTTCCCACTACCTCTGTAGAAGTTGCTTTTTGGAACTTTAAAAAAACATACTTTTCTAACTAATAATATTGCCCGTGAGCTCTCCCACTTTCTCTTGCAAGGAAATGGAACAAACATACATAAATGGGATGGTTCTGATAAAGTACCACTGGAATGAAGTAAATTGAGATATAACTACCTGCTATTACTGTGCAACTTCTTGAATTTCCAGCAGTGACAACTTCAATATTTTAAAGTAAAAAGATAACTTATTTAACTTGTTAAGGATTTTATCAAGATAAAGACTTTATGTCTGTTTGAAGGGAAAAGAGGGCTTAATTCCTGATAGTTAGCTAAGCAGTTAATTTTTTTTTTCAGGAAATCTAAATTTAATAGAAGGCTCCAGGGAAATTCAAGGGTGTGAACAATAAGCATAATATTTTATGAAAATGACCCCCATATTTAAAATCTGGCATTATATGTTATGCATTGTAGCACCAAGTCCACATCTACCTTTTAGAAAATTAAAACACATAAATTCTGTTTAGTGTTTGATATGTGCTGCACTAGCTGAAAGCCATAATGCCCCTAAAACCTTGGGTTGCTTTTCACCTTTCATAAATTCCTGGGTAGATTCTATACAAAAAATAATTTTCAGCTCCGTGGCTCATTGTTATTCAAAGTTGATTGATTGTCGTCATTTACCCAGTGAGGAAGTTAAGTGCTCCTGTCATTTCTGAAGAGTATAATTGGGACGTTTCACAGGTCAGTGGTAGTGACAGGTTTCCCTTTTGATTAGTGTTAGACTGATAACAAAAATTACAGTTTCCTATGATTAATGTTTTCTATAGTACTTGAATGCACAGTTCATGGATTGTACCTAAACAAAGTGAATTTGCATCTGATTATGCCTTTTCTCTGCCAGGCTTTTCATGTGCTTTAAAGTTTGAGATCATGCAGGTAATACAGCAAAGTTGCTTCCAGTGCAGTTTTCCAGTGGAGGATTAGTGAGATCCACTGAATTTTAGAATATTACCATACAGAGAGATATGTGCCTTGAGTGATATGAACAAATTAGGTGAAATTTCAATTAAAGATAGTACTCTGCTTTCCCTCTAGTCCTCTCAGATATGACATGCAAGGAAGTACTGGTATTGTATCCCTGCTCTTCTAGGTATAATCTGGCAACTTAAGTTAAATGATCAGGCTGGACTGAGTTTTGTCCTCTTGTTGTCTAACCCTATTTCTCTGTTCCTTAAACCTGTTGCTGTTTATTTGTTTACAGACTGAGTGAAAACAAAGGGAATACACTGAATTTACTTTCCCTTTTTATGATATGAAAGTTAGTCAGTTTGTACATTATGACACAAAGTTGCAGACTGAGATCATCTATGACAAATTTTATCTTGATGAAATCTTTTTTTTATAGCTGGGTAAGAAATGGAACCTGAACATGAAAATTTTGATGATGTCCTGCTTGTAGAATTTTACTTCTAACTTGTACCATCCATTCATTATGTGTTAATGTATATTTTTGTATTAATAGCCATCAACATTCTTTATTAGAAATTAATACAGTCCCACTTACAATTAATTGTGGCCAAAAAGAAATACTGGGTTTTTTTAAGTTATTATTTATTTTAATTTTTTAACCACATTTGATAAACCAAGGTTAGCTGCTAGATTTTTGGCTTTAGAGTGTATGTATGATTTAAAGGAACTCAGCTGTGACACAAGATTAGAGTAGTGAATTAGATTGGGAAAATTCTGCTGCAGGCAAAACCTGCAGTATCCTCTGGTGCTTGTAACAATGAGTGGTTGGTATGAATATTAACAGAATCCAGGTGCACTAATAGAAGTAAAGAACACAGATGAAAATAGTGGAAATTATGCTATTCCTTGTCAATTGGGTTGCTGCAATGAAGTGGAAGAAGTGATAGCCTGTGCTAAGGTTGGGTTTAGTGGATACCTTTTACTATTTTCTTGTAAAAGCACATGGCAAACATACAATAATAAAGTGCTAATTATGTTGTTGGGAATGAGGTGACTCTGAACATGGGCAAAGGAAATAAAGCTTTAAGCCTCCATCATTGTTGCCTTTTTAGGCTAGTTGGCATTTGCTTTTTTGAAGCTCTGATAGTACAGGCCATGTCTGGTGACACAGATTCTTTTAGCTTATGTGCAGTTTAGAAATAGAAGTCATTTTCAGGTATGGAACAAGCTTAGAAAAAGTACAGATTTGATGGCACATACACAGCAGTTGCTAGCTAAAGTTATACATAGGAAGCCACTTATGTGGATTAATTACACTGATTAGTTGGATCTCCTTTTTTTTTTCCCCACCTACTCATAGATCCTCAATTTCCATGAGACTGCAAGACAGACCAAGTGCACATTTAAGAAAATCTTGTTTTGTTGGTCTTTATCAGAGTAGTGTGTGCTGTCTGGTGGTATAAATGGTTGGGATGTATCAAATCAGTTAAGGAATGAATGGATGAAATTATTCTTAGTGCTGTTGTGAAAAAACACACTGTACCACTGTAGTATACAGATCTGAATATTCTTATTTGAGTCACTATTAGCTTACCCATTCTTTGGCTTCTCCTCCTGTTTGCCTGCTCTGGTTTTGAGCTCTTAAACAATTTGTGATACCATTTAACATGCCACAGATTATTTGAGTGCTAGTAAATGAGTAAAATCATCAAAATGAGAAGAGTTAAGACTGTAATTTGCTCATTAAGTCAAAATCTTGATGTTATTTTAAGATTTTTTGGTCTTATTTTATAGCTTCACACTTTCTCAGACCTCCCCAACTGCATGTGTTCTAATGGATAAAAGGGGCTTTAAAGAAGCCCTTAGGATAGAGAATGGCTTTAGAGATAAAATGTTAAGCAAAGACCTAATCTTAGATAAAGATTAAATACATAATTAGGGAAATATTTTTGACATAGAGAAGTCTCAGTAGGGCTATCAGGATGTTTGCAAAATATTTTCAGCGTGAAAGGAAATGAAAAACAGTCTTCACATGAAAATAAAGAGAAAATAACCCCAACAAAAATATCTCTGTAGATGAAAGCCTCAGATGATGATGATGAGGATGAAGATGAGTTTGTGGAGGTCCCTGAGAAGGAAGGTTATGAGCCCCACATTCCAGACCACCTGCGGAAGGAATATGGTGAGTTTGCCCAGCTGTGACAAGCTTTATCCCTGCGTGTCACTGCTGCAGCAAGGTAAATAAACAGCCATGCTGAAGTAATCAAGTGATCAGCAGTGTGGGTAATCTCTGCCTGCTCTGAGGAAGTCATTACATGGACACCAGGGCAGTGATTGGCTCTGGATAAACAAATACTTCTAGGAGCAGGAGCAACTGAGACAAGCAGTTTATTCCATTCCATCATCTTCCTCAGGAGCTCAGAGCCAGGAGCAGCACCCTGTGTGCTTGTAGGTGTGCAGAGCACACATCATCTTCCACAGCTTACTCCATTCCATCATCTTCCTCAGGAGTTCAGAGCCAGGAGCAGCCCCCTGTGTGCTTGTAGGTGTGCAGAGCACACATCATCTTCCACAGCTTACTCCATTCCATCATCTTCCTTAGGAGCTCAGAGCCAGGAGCAGCACCCTGTGTGCTTGTAGGTGTGCAGAGCACACACTGGGAGTGAAGGGATTGCAAAGTGAGGTTGGCAATGAGCCTGAATGTCACATACAAGTGCTGGTGCCAGTCTGGTGAGCTGGGATAAGGGGCTGTTCCATCACCTGCATTAATAGCAGCTGGATATGCACAGCTACTTCCTCCCATAGAATGGCCAACTTAAAGCTCTGCAGGGTGGCTCTTTTTGTTTAGGTATTGATGTCAGAAGATGTTAAATGCAGCTCAGCCTTCAAGTGCAGAATTACAGCCACAGAGCACATACCAGATGACAAACTATAATTTTGCTTTCTTAGTAAAAGTAGATAATTTTTAAATGAAGTTATGCTTACTTGTGTTCTTGTGAAATTAAGGGTGGTGTTACTGAAGAAAGTTCATCTTAATTCGACTTCAGTGCATTTCTCCTTGTCCTTTGTACCTCTTGCTTAGTAAATCTGCAGCTTTACTTTTGTGTAACTCAGTATATTTGAGGACTCCCAAGATTTCAGTACATTGTGGAGAAGGGTAGCTGCCATCAGAAAGCTTTAAGTTAAAAAACCCGTGAGCAGTGTCTTGCTCCTGCATTTTTCCATGAGTATTTGTGTAAGACTGGTGCTGTTGCTGTTGCTTTTTCAATGTCGATGCTTATTTTTCCCAATTCTGCAGTTTACCTCATAAAAGTCAGGCTGCAGCTACCACCTGGAACTCATTTTTCATATCTTTTGCAACGGCCTAAGTAATTCTAACATGCAAAATTCTGTTTCTACTTGCCAGTTTCCAGTGGAAGTGAAATGTATTCACCTCTTCCCTTTTATCCCATCTTCCTCGTGGACACATATTTCTGAAAAATAAAGCATCTTACCACCCTGTATCACACTAACACAATACTTGGCTGCTATTTGAATTCCTTTTTATAGGGAAGGATAAAAGAAGAACCCTGCTATCTCCTCAGGGATATTTTAAAAATCAAAATGGATTAAGAAATTCCCAATTTTTATTTAAACTTTTGCTGATAGGAAAATACATTATAGTGAAGAAGTCAATCAATCAGAAAACAAAACCTCTTGTTTTGTATACCTGTGGTTATGTAGGAGCTAATGGTCACACTTGGCTGTTCTTTATCTGATACATTCATTAAAAAATAACATTTTGAAAGAAATTAATCATTCTTGATGCTTCTGAATACATTCAGCTTTACTTACTGCCATTTAAAGCTATTATGTATGTTCCCAGTTCTGAAAATAACTCAGAATTCCTGAAAATTACAGCTTAGAAAATGAAAGTCTGGATGAGTGGAATGTTCTAACTAGAACATTAAACCTCCCACATAAAATAAAATCCCAGTGTTATGTGGAAAGTGTGCATAGCTAAAAGCTACTTTTCCTTTTGTTGTTACTTTTCCTGAACAAGCCAAATTAACTTGATACAGTAAACCAGAAAACAAAGCTGTAAAACATGACTGTGGAAATGGATTGAAATGTGACATGTAAATTATTGATTTAAATGTCACTTTATTTCCTTTCACTTCTCTCACAAAGATGTATCCTACCAACAAGATAAATTTTGTGTTTCTCCTGAGAACTGAAAAACTTGTTAAAAATGAAAATTTATTTAGAAGGAAAAGTTCTGTGCATAAGTATATAGACACGTGCAGTTGTATTATCTGTGTGTTTATGTGGTTAATAACTATAGTCTCAAAATTGGTGATGATATTAAATATAGAAATTGGGTGCAGTTTGGGTGGAGGTAGAATTGAAGAAGTCAATTTGAATCTTGATGTATAAAATGAAATGTAAATTTGTTAAAAGAATTTAGGTGATTAGATAATTGAAGTGTGAAGATATAACCCATTAGAGGTGTCATGCCAAATTAGCATTACCAGAATTTTAATGACCTCCCATTTGTATAATCCTTATTTACACTTGCATCTGATGTCTGCAGCTGACAAGAGGCCAGCTCTCCTGTGGGACCACAGGGTCATTTAAAATACACTGTGGTGCTAAAGAGGAATATTTGGCTGAAAAAGAAACACCACTGGAAATAATTTTCATATGGTTGCTCAGATCTCACCACTGGGCACTGATGTTGCTGATAGCACTGATGAGTGACCTGCCCTTGTATGGCTGGCATTGCTCAGCCCTGGAAAATTGAGCCATTATTCATTTAAAGGAAAACTTCAGGGGGAAATAAAATCTTTCTACAGGAGATTTTCCATATTTTTGGTCTTTTTGGTCAGTTGTTGGTTGCATTGGTATAAAGCCTTAGGGTGGATGAGGTAAGGGATGGAGCTGTGCAGCCCCTGAAATTGTTCTTATCCCATAGAATAGAATTTTTGGCTGATCCCAAAGAATGAGAGATTCCTTCCTGCCCTTGGTGGTCTTGGCCTGGCTTGCAGCTGTGCTCTGACCCACATGGGAAATGATCTCTTTTGAGGGATGTGCTTTCCCACATAAAAATGGAGCAATTCTCAGCTCTAGTCCAAAGCACCCACTTTAGTTGGCAGTTCTTGTCTCATTGCAAGCATTACTTACCCATGCAATAATGCTTCAGAACAGGGGAGTCCTATTGCTGTTTTACAGGAGGTGATAGAGGAACCCATCTGACTTGGGACTATTAGCATGGAAGCAGTCTACTGGTTATCCAAGTTTCATCTTTATCCAAAATTATATGAGGAATGACTGTGCAGTCACAAACCTTTATTTCTACTCTGGTTAATAAGATTACTTCTCTTGTATTTGAGCCTTAAGCTGAATGTTTTTAGGTCTCCGATAGCTATTTTACAGGTTCACATTGCATCTTGGAGTCTGCTTGAGATTTCTTTCATATGGGAATCAAAGCTACAGTTCCCAAGAGTTACTTCTATCCATTTCTGAAATTCTTCCCTCTTTTCCTCACAATGTGATGTGCTTCTTCTGGGTTAGATGTCCCCAGACTGCCTTTCCTAATCTGATGGCATCTCAGTCATATTTTTCTGTGTATTAAGTAGCTGCTGTTGAATCCTTGAATAGATAACCCCTGTGCTGGCTAGATGGAAATTAAAAATTATACCTAAGCATTTTCCTTCCTTACTGCAGTGAGTTCTCAGTTTGTCTGGGTCCAGCTTTTCAGTCAGATTTGATTTATCTGGTTTATCTTGATTTATACCTCAGGAACTTCTGAGGGAGTTGTCCCTGCATGTTGTGAAGGATGTGGAGAGCAGTTTTATGTGGAGGAGCAGCTCAGTGGAGACCTCAGCAGAAACAAACATGCAAACTCCAGCATGTATAAAGCACCATTGTCAGGGGCTGGGTTTGAGACTTTGAATTGCACTGTCTAAGCTAAATGAGGCTTTTACCTGACTTCTCTAAGGAGAAAAAGCATATCAGGTTTTACAGGGGGAATGTTAGGCAGAATTAGTTATTTACCTTTTTGAAATTCAGGTTCCTTTTCCTAAATTTGGAAAATGTAGGTAACACAGTTGTGTTTCTCAGCCTGACAAGTCTAGTATCTAGAAAAATTTTTTATTAATAATACTATAAATCCTTTAAAAAAGAATTCAGTAGAAAAGATGTAGTTGTTACATGAGGTAAATAGCATGTGTTGATTTATCATAAGTGTATTGAAAACAGATATTCAGCATTGAAGTTAAAACCTCAGACCAGAATTTCTGTAGTCAAGTGCATGTGTGGTCTCCATTTCTCTTAGGATATAAAACTCTAGAAGTATTTAATTATACATTTACAAACGAGATTGCCTGTTTATATTAGTGTGTTTTGATATACCTGTATATGCACAAACAAAAGTCCTGTATGGAATCACAGAATCATCTTTAAGATTTGAAAACAGCTCTAAAATCATCAAATCCAGACTATGACTGAGTACTGCCATGCCCACTAAACTGCAAAGTTGCCACATCTACTCATCTTTTTGAATGCTTCAGGGATGGTGACTCCAGTACTTCCCAGGGAGCCTCTTCCAGTGTTTAACTGCTCTTTTCAGTGAAGAAACTTTTCCTGTATCCAACCTCAACCTCCTTTAGCACAGCTTGAACCTAGAGAGACCTAGCCACACTTAGGACAATAAATGAGTAAAACCATTTGTAATGCAGTATTTGGAATAAAGATTATCTTTTCACAGTTATGAAAAAACATGATTATCCCTTCCAACAAAATACTTCAACAGCCATGTAGAACTGTTGACTGTAGATACTTCTTCTGATGCATCTTGATCAGCTGGTCATGGAAATTCTCCTCATTCTCAGGAGAGGTTCTTCTATGTAAATAAAAATTTCCCAGGAAATATAACAGATACACTTGATTTCTGCTAAAGTTGTTGGAAATTAATACTCACTGCACAAGATATTGGTACACTTTCAAGTAGTTTGCCACAGCAGTATCCTTCAGAGGATCTATGCAATGACCAAGGGATGCAAAATCATAAGGAAGAAGCTTAAAAGGTGAGGGTGTAAGGTATAGAAGGGCTTGATATAAATGCTGTATATTTGTGTTTTTCTGGTTCTTAGCTATGATTGTAAAGCAGTAATAAGTAGGGTTAATTAATGAGAGGTAACATTATATCAACATATTCTGTAATTCCAGTAAGCCAAAGTAAGTGTTTATGTAATGTTAGTGAACTCTTCTTAACTACTCTTTAAGAGTTATCTTTTTTCTTTAATTTGAATTTTGAAAGGATTCCAAGATTTCACATAAATGAGCATAGCTACATTCAAAGGCACTGGTAAGCTTTGAAAAGTCCAAAGCTTATTTTGCTTCCTGAGTCAAATACCAGCAGGCATTTTCATTGTGAGCACAGTGGAGTGAGAGGGGAAATATTGGACCTGAACTGCTGAATTGTCCTTACAATCTAGGACAGTGTCTGTACTATTATAAATCACATCCACTTGCCTTGACTAAGATTCAACAAATGGGGAGCAGAAATTATTAATTTTTTTTCAGGAAAGGTGAAGTCCATAATACTTGTTTATATTCTATCTCTGTTTTTTCAATTAAACTTCAGTGAATCTGAAGTAGCTTGATTTCGTCTAAATCCACACAGCTGAGGAAACCTGGGCTTGCTTTTTCTCTGAATTTTCACTGAGGGGCTTTTATCTCCCCCTAATCCCACCATTTCTGTCAGGACATAATCTCTTTCTCAAATTTACATTTTAATTACAAGGCCAGCTGAACTAGCTAAAATCAATAATGTCAGCATTCAGCAGCCTAACTTCAGCTGAAACCCCAGCCTCTCTCTTTCCTGCTATAGATTTATCTTGTGAACATGGGCTTCTTTATTGCTTCAGGCAATAGGTGCCATTTGGCCAATTTAAACAAAAAGGGGGATTTAAACACTTTTATGATTCTTTCTCAAAGCTGCTATTGGCAAAATTTGAACCCAGGTACTGTACTTGTTAAACAAACCACACAGAACAGCAGAATTCTGGAGAGGAATATTACTTTTAAAACTGCACTTAATCCCATCTATGTTTTAAAACCAAAACAAAGCAACCCCACCCTGACATTGGACACCATTCAGCTGGGGCTGTCTGCCTGGTCACTCTTGTCTTTATCTTGTTAGCAAAACCTACTTTCATACATAAATACTTTTTAAAAATTCCACAGTGGAGGTGATGTTACTGATGTCTTAGTGTTATCTATTTTTAGCTATTTTTCTGTTAATAGTTTAAAATAAGAAATCAATGAGAAAATATTTTGCTCTTGTAACTCTTAAGAATTCCTATATTGATCTTCCAGATGTGATTTTTATCTGTCTAAATGTCACATTGTCCATTTATCTCTCTTGCCTTTCCTGTCTGTTGCTGACTGCTTGTCTCTGCTGTTCCCCTCCTCCTCAACCAAACCAGTGTTGTGAACAAGCAGTCATGCTTCCTGTAAACACCATAGGAAAAGAAATAGAAAAAATAGGGTTTTCTGAGAACTTTTAATACATAGCAAGTATTTTCTCTGAAGATGAGAGGTATGGTGAGTGACACAAACCTGCTATCTTCTGACTTTTTTTTACTATTTGTAAATAGTACAAGTGCTCTCAAACCACTTGCTTTAAATAATGCTTTTCAGAAAGGGTCCTTAAAAAAAAGGGAAAAAAAAAGAAGTTTAAATGCTAAATATAGTCTGAGCAATTCTGCATTACAGATAGTTTATGATATATTCTTAACCAGGTTAACTGAGAAGGGCCAAAGGCCCTGTTTGTGACTGTTTCTGTCATTAAAGGAAGTTTACTTCTCCAAATACTGATGATTCTGAAGTGTGGTTACAGCAATGGTTTTAATTCTGTTTCACTTTGATAAAAGCACCTGAGAAAGGCATTTTCCCTTTCTGGCCTGTGATGTGAACTGAGACAGAGCCCTGCTCTGCCACCTTTCCAGAGACATAAATTGAAAATTCCTGCATTATTATTTCACTGAAGTGCTGTTTAAAAGCACATTTTTGTGGGGGCACCATTCTCCCTCTTGAACAGCAAGTCCACAGCTTAATAAATGTAATGAAATAATTTCTTCTGCTATTTTACTTAGATATCTGCTTAAATCCACCCTATTATATTTAATTATAACTTCCTTTATTCCTGGTCCTTCTGCAGACTGTTTTCTAGTGCAGAGATTGGACCTTTAAATGTTTTTGGGTGGGTTTTTGGTTTGTTTTTTTATAATGTTCTTTAAAGGCTTGTTGACTTTGGAGAATGTAGAGTGTTCATAGCTTTTGTTAGTGTGTGGTTGGGCAGGAGTGAGTAAGGGAGCAGCTCTGGGTGTACTTCCTTCTTCTGCCAGCACTTAGATATTTTCTTCTGGAAAATTGTGTGGTTTAGTATCTGTGGAAGACAAATGTGCTCTAAATAATTCTGTTTCACTAAATAATTCTGTTTCACTCTTGAGTGGGAATGATGTCTAACACAAACTGAAAGCAGGAAGACGTAGTCAGCACCCTGAGCTGTTTGGGTGGACTGTGAGGGTGGGAGAAGTGAACCACTCCTAAACATCAAGGTGTTTTTGCAGGGCTTGAACCTCAGTCACCTCCAAAAGCCCCAGTGGCAAAGGCATCAACAGGAGCAGCTCTGCAGAGCTCCCACACTCGGCTCAAAGGGAACGAGGACGAGCTTGATCCAACCTGTGCAGCTGCCACCCTGAAACTCCTCAGAGACAAACTCCCAAAGCTACCATCTCCTCATGCCAGGTCATCTTTGCTTTCATTCCTGTACAAACCTCTTGCTCTTGTGTTTATTAGTCAGGACAGCACACAGAAAAGCATTTGTGAACCAGGCAAGCTGACAAGGCTGACTTGATCTCGTTTTGAAGTTACATTCATTACTTAATGTTTGGGATTTTGTTGGTGATTGCACCAGGATTTTAAGGAACCTTTTACTGCTCAGTTAATATAGATCTTATTTGGTGTAAATGGCCATTATGAAAATACACTGTTCCTTTCTTTGCTACCAACATCCTTCACCCCATTTATTTGGGTAAATTTTGTTTGTTTGCAGCTGAATAGAGTGTATCCTAATGTTCAGTTAGCAAATAGTTTCAACATCTCTTTGCTCCCAGTGACTTATGCTGTCAGTGCTGCCTGGAGATGTTACATTGCTTCCAAAGACATATTTGTTATCAATCCTGCTCAAAGTTTGGTGAAACTCCAAGTATTTGCCTAGTATTTGGCTGTGATTTGAGTACAAGGCTGGGGTCATCTGTTTAGTGACATGTTCCTGGAAAGACCCTTCTGCATGGGCCAGGAAAGCCCCCAAAACTTAGCAAACTGGAATTGATGTGAGATTTCCAGTAGCACATCTGTGGCTCCTGTGGGAGTGCAGTATGCATGATCCACTGCTGCCCCCACAGATCTCTGGGTTTCTGCCCCCATAGTGTGATGTGTGTTAACCAGCCCTAGCTGAACATGCAGTGAGCTGCAGAGTGTGTGGTGGTGTGTCATATGGTCTTCCTTTAAAAAAAAAAGGGACAACCTTGAGAAGTAGTTGTAATAGTACATGTAAGGTAATATTGGTGTTGGTCTAAAAAAATCTAATGAAAACAAAACAAAAGAAAAAAAAGTTGTTGTGGTCATTGGTGTTCTGTATTGACTTCTCATCAATTTTCTCCAGTGAATCTGCAACTTCTGAGACATCAAACTTGGAAGATCCTGACAGTAAAAGAAGAAAATTAGAAGAAAGAGCTAAAGCTCCCCTCATGCCTTTTGGATTAGATCTTCACTACTGGGGAGAGGATCAGCCAAGTGCTGGGAAGATTCTCAAGTAATGCTCTTTTTCTTTTAAGACAAATTAAACAAATAGATAGATTTACTTGTACTCAGAGGTCATGCAGTGGGGTGACTGCTATTTCTTTTGATAATTACTTTTCTTCTTTACCTTGTGTTGTAGGACCCATAAACAAAGTCAGAAATTCTACCTTTAAATGTTATTTGTTTTGAGAAGATGTGATACTAATTAAATATCCTTTGATGCTTCAAAGCACTTCTTTTTTCTGCTCTTTTTATGTTTGCAGCATGGCATCAGTTACTCCAATTTGAGCTGGTACCTCATTATGCAAAGGGCTCTGCCAAGTGTGTGATAGACATTCCCTGAGCTGGAGACTTTAGGATCTAAATAAGTAGCAGGCAAGGTAGGAGAAAGGCTGGGGAAGTGTTTTTCTTGGTAACTGAGGAAAATGCTGGGCTTACTCAGTCATGCAACAGAAAGGTGGCAGTTACAGGATTTGGATTTGGATCTTTCACTTTCCATTGCTGTCTGGCAGGTTTTCTGTTTCATGAAGCACTGCTGACTTAGGGAAAGCTTTAGCACTGCTGGGGAGAAGAGGTGGTAGGTACACATCGGAATTTATTTCTAGCAGTCAGTTTTTAAAGCCCTTTTTACTATTTTGGAATGAAAGTTGGGTTGCAAAGTCCTCCCTCTATGTATAAATTTCGTTTAAGTCCACCAGAACTTTGGTATCAGTGTGTACCATACCTGACTTGAAAAGGGCAAAAATCTCTGACTGGCTGAGTTGCAAATTAAGCTATTATATTCTTAGCAGTATTACTTTAACTTAGTTTGTTTTCTTACCAAAACAGAAAAAAACCCAGCCTGTAATCACAGTGCTAAAACTGTTGGCAGAAAGGAACAAGAGGAAATCTTTGCCCCTGCACCTGAATTTGTAAAATTCTGAATATCTGTTAAATTACTGTAAACTGGTACAATTTGGTGCATAAAAGTGCTTTACCACAGTCACTCCAGGCTTTGGATTCCATCTCCTGTGGTGTGGGTTCTTCAAAGCCTATGAAGAGATTTTCAGCAGGGATCTAAGAAGCATTTGTCTGTGATAATGCCAAAAAGGTAGTAAGGCCTTATTTTACATTGCAAATGAGTTATTCAAGTCATAAGTGAAATCAGAAGCATATTTCACTGCCTGTCTGCCTCGTGCTCTACTGTTTTATTTTTATGCTTCCCAATAAAATAGAGGGCACACTTCTGAACCATACAGTCTATAACTACAGATGTGCCAATCTAACTAAAGATAATTTAAGTAACTGCACACACAATACCATTGACCCCAGGCATAAAATAGACTTATTGAAAAATTAAGGTAGTTATCAGTCAACTCCTTCAGCGTTTCTCTATGCACTCATACTGGCTCTGTAAGATTCTTAGGGGAAGAAAGCAAACTGAAAAATAGACAAAATATATGGGATGTGTATGGAATCTGAGTTTTTAAAATCTGAAGGGGAAAAGTGTTTCCATTTCATTTAGCAGTGCACTTACTTAATCACAGCATTTACAATCAATTAAGATTTTAACAGTGAGAATGTAGCCACCAGGAAGATTTTCTAAAGTTTTGTTGGGTTTTTTGAGGGGGGGCAGAAGGTAGTGTATGCTGCACAGTGTTGAATTGTGTAGAATCTGCTATGTCAGCTTAACAGACTTGTTTTGGATAGCATAGACCTTCCAGACTCATCTACTCTCCTCCTTGAATTAAATCTGCTTACTCTTAGGAACAGAGTGAAATAGCTGGTGCAGCACTGACTGGGACTAGGGTGTTTGAATTAGCCCATTTTTGCACTTGCTTCAGGATCTCTGTAAGCATCTGGGGGGTTAGAATTTATATTTATACAATGTTTTTATAAGCTGTCAGATTAGAAATTAAGATGATATAAATTAATTGAAAGAGTGCAGCAGTTCTCCAAGAGGTTTCTCTTAGATTTCAGTTAACCATTACTTGTCTTTTATTCCTCCTCCTCCTCATGTGTTGCTGTGCCATTGCCATTAAAGTCTCTGTTATTTGTCTGGATTAGAAACACTCTAAATGTGAGGTGTTGATCTTTTTCATCTTTTAGTTGATTATCTGTTCCTCTTCTGATCCATCTTACAAACAGGTTTTACTTGTCACATGCATCATTTTTTCAAACAAGTATCTGCCTATTTATAATGTTGCTTAACTTAGAACAAGAAATCAGAAAACTTTGGGAACTGCCACTGCTTTGTTCTCTCACCTGCTTCTAAGTCATGTTGGGAGAAAATAAGTTATATGCTTGTAATAAACAGTAATATGTATTAATATATTTGTAGGAATCAGGCTCTTTAAAATTCAGTTCCCAAATACTGGTCAATGATACATAGGGCAAAACATAATTTTAATATTCTTGACATTTGTTGGGTGCATATTTAGGGGAAGGGAGACAGTGAAATGATTAAATAGAATTATTTCCTAACTGGAAGGGTTGACATGCACAACTGTTAAATGCTTCTTCATTCTCATGTAACTGTAATTTGATAATTGAGAGGGGGAGGGGAGTTCAGACCACCAAAGGACACTAGAATTTAACAAGACATTCTGTAAGATTGTCATGCATGTGAAAATCCTGTATGGTGCCTTTTTTAGGAATGCTTTCCCCTCCAAGTGGCTGCAGGTTAGTGATATAGAGCTGCCAGTCAGTTTTGCTTTCAGCATTGCATTAAAATAAGCAAATAAGAAATTGATGTCATTATTTTATTTACTCTCTATTGTATAATCTTGGCACATAATTTCTGAAGCTAAAATACTGTACTGTTCAAACATTGGGCTGAAATAGTGTTTATTTTTTAGAAAGACTCTCAGGGCTTTTGGGGTTTTTTGCTACTTTTTGCCAAAGTCTGTGATTAAAAATATTTTGTTTAACCAAAAACTGTGGGAAAACATTACTGTGTTTATTGTTGAACTAGCTTACACTGGAACTCTTTTGCCTTTATCCCCTAATTTGCCAGAAGAAATTATTTGTACTTTATGGCAGGTTAGTATTTCTCTGGCACTAGTGAAGTATATTTGATGGAGAAATTACAGATAGAATCAATCTGTTTAACAAGAATTTGGCTGAACGTTTTTCTGATGATGGCAAATGACAGAGATGTTGCAGAGTTTCCTAATCCCTTTTTTACCTAGTTCTAACCTCTTCCCATAGTTTAAGTGCTCAACTATTGCATTAAAACCAGCAGCTGTATATGTCGTAGGTTGCTATGGTCAGATATTTTCCTCTACTTTTTTTTTCCCTTGTCATCTGCTGAAAACCTGGTCAGATAAAATTAATCAAAACTTTTCAGGCCCTTTAAAGTAATTCTTTCAAGTATTGGTTTATGTGCTTTGCCAGATTGTGACTGGTGTCATGAGTGAAGCCAGTGTTCATGTATGATGGCTCTGCAGTCCACAGAAAGCAAGGCAGGAATGACACCCAAGGATATTAGTGAGTGAGAGGAATTGGATATGGATAGAGAAAATCCTCTCAAATAACTCTGGAACAGATTGGGTCGAAGAACTATGTGGAAGAAAGGGATTGTAGGGTTCCTTTAGGACTTTTATGTCCTTATCAAGACATCTGTTATCTAGGTGTCTTCATCTTGCTTGTCATGAGCAGCAGACATGCAGGCTGCAATTTTTTTCCCTTAGTTTAGCTGTATTTTTTTCCTCTTCATATTTCCTTAAATTTGGGGTGGGATTGTTGTTGTTAACTTCAGATATCTTAAAATCAGATACCTAAGCTTAAGCTGGTTACCCTAATTTCTTTTCATGATTAAGAGAAAGAAACATTTACCATCAGAGGGACAGTCATTGTCTCCTAAGATTAGTATTTAAAATGAGTCAAGTAATTGCTCTGTGGGGTTGCCTATTTTTCACTACAGACTGTTGGCAGCTTAGGGTGGAAATAATGTGAATATTAATTTGAAATTATATGAATGCTGTTGAGAAAATCTTTGTTTGCCTGTCTGTCTGTAAATGTAGGTAAGGTCTCCAGTTTTAAAATAGCTTTTCAATGGGTTAGCTTAATTTCTTAGAGGAATACCTGTTAATTTCTCAGATTTATGGACACTGTGTAGGAGAATCTGGAAGAAAGAATCTGTGTAAGGCTCAGCTGATTGTTTGCTCTTTCCCATGGTCTCAGTTTATTGCAAAATCCTCTGATTCCAGCTTCTGCTTCTCTGCTGCTGCAGGAGTCCAGCTATCAGGAATGAGATCAACCTCGTTAAGATCAAACTGTTTCCTCCTTGATCTGTGCTTAATCATAGAAGTATTTTGTTATGAAGAATGTTAAGTACAGAATTACTAAGTTATTCACTGAATCTGGAAATTGGATAACTGACTCTAGATGTCAGATCATGAACTAAAGCTAAGACTTGTAATAGCTTAGCAGGTTAAACAGGAAATCAATACTAGACAGGCTTTGGTGGTATTTTAAAAATATCTTCATAATACAGGAGCCATAAGAAAGACTGGTAGATTCCTAGGGGTTTTTAATTCACTAGTAATTCCCTTCCTTTCACATGTGAGTTTAGCACAGGTTGATAAAGTCATCTCTGTGTATTTTCTTACAATTTTGTGTGTGAATTATTTCCATTTGTTGTTTTCGCAGATTTACCTCCGAGCATCGATTTTGGGCACCCAGTGAGGTAGAAGAAGAGGTGGAAAATAAAGAAATAACAGAAATGTTAAAAACCAGGTATATAACATTTGCTGGCAAGTTTGAGCCAGTGAAACATAAATGTCGAGCACCCATGCCTGATGGAACTCTGTGTGAAAGACAAGATCGGATCAAGGTAGGCACCAAGTTACAGCATGGAGAAGGTCTCCTTGAAACAGCCATAAACATTTATTTCACATTGTAAGTATAGCTCAGGGGAGTGGAAGAACATTGTGTTGGAGAAGTTCATTGTTAATATGTGCTTCGTAAGGGAAACATCCTTTTGGTAAAGAAGCTGTAAACATTTAAAGAACTCTCGAGTTTTTTGGCATTCATTGTAGGTTATCTGGATTTTATTTATTACTGTGATGTGTGAGTACCTGGCAGTAAGGCAGAGATAGTTCTTTGCCTTACTGCCAGGTACTCAAATTTTTCCTCAGAGGAATATTTGTTATTAACTATTTCTAGAAACTTACATGTTTGAGGGGCAAAGAAATTTTATTTACAAATTAAGTTTTATGAAAGCTAAACTCTACACAGCCTCAAATTATGAGCACTATTGAGCAGAATTGCCTAAATACTTTGTTCTAGTATTTCTGTTCTTCCTGTATTATCTGAGTATGAAGGATCTGAATGCACTTCAGTACTTTTAATGGGACAGGGATATAGCATAAACAACAATATATGATGCAGCATTGGTGCCATAGTTCCAGCCTGGACAGGATGTGCTACCTGGCCTCTTGAAATTGTGTATTTGTTTCAAAAAGAGGTTATTTCTTTGACATTCTGAATATATTAAACACATTATGTTTATGGGATTCTGATGCTTTCTAAAGAGGACTGGGATTCAAGTGTAGTTTTGTTGCTCAATTCCAGTTTCCACCTTTAAGCTGTGTTGAATAAAAGGTAAACATTTTCTTTTCATTCAAAAACTGTGAGATTTTTTTCTTTCCTCCTATTTCTTTCTCAAGTGCCCTTTCCATGGAAAGATAATTCCTCGGGATGACTCTGGGATTCCTGTAAATGCAGAGGACAGAGCCAGAGAAGAAAAGATGAAGTTTGAGAAGCAAGCAGCCCAGCCAGGTCTGTGTCTGCATAGCATCTTAAATAAATAAAAATTTTAAAAAAATACTAGGCAGAGGTGGGAAGTACTTGTTACCTGTTTTGCTCCTAACCACGTTCTTCCATTTGCATTTGCATTGCTATTGATTTAAATTACAGCTCATTTGGAGTGGTTCTTGCTTATGTGATAAATATGGATACATGTGTAGATAGAATAATGTTAACATTGCATTTGAGCTTTATTTCCAGTGGATTTTGTAATGGTCCCAACCCTGCTCAGACAGACCAGTTATAGCCTTTGTCTTAAGGAACATGATTATCAAGGATGGTTGGACCTGTTCCCTGGGAAGTGCTTGGCAGTAGCTGTTCTGTGCTTCTGCAAAGATATCTAATCTTGCTGGTCCCTGACAGTAGTGATTTATGCAATATAATGATATTATTAGGATCACTGTGTTGCCACCAGTTTTGAGAGGGTGTGTTGGATTTTTGTTTTTAAATAATTGGGAATGGGCAACAAAAGTATTGGCCTTCTTCTTGCAGCCTTCAGGTGTGGAGGGGAGGGCTCCTTCTTCCCCAAGATAATTTGGACATTTTTAGCCAAGGTGCAGCTCTGGACTGGTAGGTGAGAAATGCAGGCAGTAAATACACAGGCAGGAAGACTTCCAAGGGGAATAAAAGGCTTTCTTGCAGTAAGTACAGCTGAACCCTGTTAGTGATGGACAGGAGGACTACAACCAGGAAGCTACTGGCAGTTGATGGACTGCAGAGGAAGGTGAGAGAGAGGGATCTATCCAGCAAAGACACGGTGTATAACTGGAGGGGACAGCTTTTCTTTAATCTAGCTTCCCTCAGCAGGTCTTAGTTTTCTCTGGTTTGAGCTATTTATTGTAGGTGAGTATTCTGGATTTTAATTAAACTTACCCATAGGCATTAGCATTTCGATATTCTGTACAATGCTCCCTTGCAAGAGTTCTCTCTTCAGGTTTGACTGACTTGGTGTTTGACTGTTATGCATATTATTAATAAAATTACTAAACCTTTAATGAAACCTCTTGAGAGCCTGAGGAGCAGTTACCTGTATTCAAAACAGAAATCTGTATTCAGAAAGGTCTCTGTGGAATGAATGTGCATTAAAACATAGAATTGACCCACCCAGTGTCCTTTAATACTTGTTTGACCATCTTTGAGTGGCAGTGCTTGGTGATTACAGCAGCACAGCAGTGCAGCAATTACTGAACACCTTCTGGTATTTGCAGGTGTCAAAGTGCTACATTTGCAGGTAGTTTCCATCCCTGTCCAGGCAGAGGAAGTGCTCTGAGCTGGAATCCAGCCAGCACCACACACACTGTTGGGCTGTCACAGGGAAACCAGGATAGGAGTGTGGATGTTGTGCTAAAAAGGAAAGTTCCCAGCTTAGTTACGACAAACTCCAACTAGCAAATTAAACTGATAGGTGTTGTTGAAATCTCAAACTGGAAACTAATATTCTGGTATAAAAATCACTTGGACTGAAAAATATTGATTTTTTTTTCCTGTGAAATTGCCATTGCTTGAGGCTAGACATAGTATTTATTTTTATTACAGTGTCAGGTCGGTGTTGTTAGAGGCTTCTCACCTCTGGTCCACAAGGATGTGTCTGTTAGTCCCAAACCAGTGTTGGCATTGCTCCTTGTGTTACTGAGTGTGGTTGTTAAGCTGAAATGTCACACAAAGGTCCAGCCCATCTGGCTGGGGACATACTGCACAAGCTGTGGCACTCAATTTGGACAAAATCCTCCATGTTTCTAAAGCCATAGATTTACCAGATGTCACTAAATACTTCTATCCACTTTATTTTTTGTTCTGCCTTGCTAATTTTATATTTGCTTTAGAGTATTTTCATCAACTTTTTAGGTTTGTTTTTTTTTTTGCTTGTTTTGAGGCTTGTGGTTTGGAGGGGTGTGTTTGGTTGGTTTTCAGTGGTGTTTGGTTTTGGGGTTTTTTTGATTACAAAGGTCTTGAAGCAATTCTGAACAGTGCAGCTATGGGAAATACACAACTGGGAACCCACTGGACAGTCAGGAACTGTTTGATTGACAACATCATTAATGATGGCAGTTTGAAAAATCTGGAAAAAACCACTTTAAATTTAGGGATCAGTTGTATGGTTAAATTGCACCAAAATTCTTCTTGCATCTCGTTCCTGTGGGATGGTAGATTTCTTTCTATCTTTGTGTGATTAAAGGGGGAAACAAATAGAAGTCATATGGTTTTGTGCTAATGGCTTGTGTTTTGACAACACTGTCATTGTTATTATGGATCATTTATTATCTTAGTACAAAATTTTAAACTCCAGCTGATGTCCACAGAGAGGTGCTTTGGGCTCTTCAGTCCTGGAACCGTGAATCACTTGGGATTACCCTGACCCGCTAATCTGCAGCGTTCATCCTTTTCCCATAGTTCACACACAGGAGCAAATTAAGTGCCTATTTTTTGTGTCAACCCTGAAGAGTATCTGGTTTTTCAGCCCTTAGTGACTTGTTAACAAACAGGTATCAGGACAGGCTGGTGAAGGCAGGCCGCTGGCCACTCAGATGTGAAATAGCGTCTCTTTACTAACTACAGTATCGATTCCCGCCTACCCTTGCAAACTGTGTAATTTTCTTTTCCCTGCTGCTAAACTCAGTAACAATGTATGAAGAGCTTTAGGGGCCCATCAATGCTCAAAAAGCCTGCTCTTCCCTGGCATTCTATTGATTTTTCTCAAAAGCTTTTAAATTGCTCCTTCATTTTACTCAAATGCTCATTTCATCTCTACTGGATGCCGGCATTTTTTCGTTGTGTTTAAACAATTGCTCCATTCACGGGGTTCCTAAACTGTGACGCCTTCTTATTACTGGGAGATAAACTGTTTAGACAGTTTTCCTTAATCTTGGATTAATCGTTCCTGTATCTGAATTGTGCTGTTCTGTATTCCCTCACTTCAAAAAAAAAAGTCAGTGAGGTCTTATGATCTATCAAGTATATGTGTTCTATTTTCTCCCTTTGTAACTCTCCTATGCAACTCTTGAACAGCTTGGTTTTCCTCGTGCTTTTTGGTGTGTTGGATTTTAATCAGGCCTTGCTTTCATGTATGATGGTAGTTTAGATCTAACCTTTCCTTGGAAAATTGCTCTGCTGTTCCTTAACACTGTGTTCTTAAGTGAGGACATTGCCTCTGACCTTCCTGAAATGTTGTTAGCAGCGTTTGTCACACTCAGTGACCATCTTGGTGTATAAATGAAGTTTATAGAAGTGTAGAAATGAAGTAGAGTCCTTTAGGACTGTTTATTTCTCTATATTTACAAAGTTGTTATGTAAGAGGAGTAGACATTTGGTGTTACAGTTTCAGCAGGCAACAAAGGCTGACTGACTTGAGGGAAACTATGACAAATGACTGGCAATTACTGTTGTTAAAATGCAGACTTCTGGCATTTCTGCTGAGTGTGGACCATGTTCTTTCTGAAGTAGTACTTCCTACAATTTTTTCCAACCTAAATGCTCAAAGTCTTTACAATGAAATGAATTTTTTCTAAATTTCCCCTTGGCAGATGTCCATCCTCCAGCCACATTTTTACTTTGTACTTTGTGCTACCTTGTTTTGATACACAAGACTACACTGAAGGTGAAAAACTGCAGCTTCATTAAACAGCCCACAGTCTGAATTGTTCATGCTTTTTCCTCTGGTGGCATGTAGGATCAGAATCCACTTACAGTGTATGTCTGGATTCTGAAGCATTGAGGTTTTGAAAAAATTTGAAGCAAGATTTTGTTTGGATAAATTAACTTGTGCCATTGTCAAGAGAAGAAACTTGATTTAGATAATTAATCTGAGGCAATGTGGGATACTTAGAAAGCAGTATCTTTTTCAGATGCAAAATGGGTGTCATGGCAACAGGGTCATGTTATCCTACTCAAGAATTTTATGGAGATGTCTGATAGCAGTTCATGTTTTAAAGTAAATATTATTGAAGAAAAGAAATCACAATGTTGCCAGCCCTACTCTGCTAAAAAGTTGATATATTCAATTTTTTAGGTTTATTTTTAAGCTTATGCTGAATTTATTTCTGCAGATAAGTTACTCAGCTACATTGTTGGCATTTTCTTTTCTAAATAATAATCACAATGTTTATTCACCTCTCCTGCATGGAATAGTTTCCTTGGAACTTAGTTCCTGTGCCACTGAAAAACCTTGACCTAAGTCTTCCTACAGAACAGTTTTATCCAGAGCTACTAATACAGACTGGCAGGGCTTCTTCACCCAGATCTGTCATTTTGGGAAACTGCTTTATCCTCCCCTTCCTTTGTGTGTGCAACTTGTGTGGCTCTGCCCTCACCTACTGCTGACAAGAGCCTCTTCCTTAGGGGACTGCAAATCCTCCCTGGGTTTGGGGTTTCAAAGTTCATGTTTTGTCTTTTGAGCAGAGTGGAGAGATCCAGAATTCATGAGAGAAATTGAAGCTGCTACAGGACTGGATCTTGGTTCCTCTAAAAGTAATGGAAAAGGACAGAAAAAGAAAGGGAAGAAGCAAAAATATCCGAATCTGACAGACCTGAAGCAACAGGCTAACACGTCTCGTTCCCGCCTTGAGAAGAAAGTCTTCAATAAGTAAGATACTTCTGTTCTTTAAAGCTTGTTAATTCCTATTTCTGTTTGATTCAACAGTACTTTCTGTTTCCACATTAACATGCACTTACTAATCAGATTCTTTGGCTAACTGCAAGCAAGAGTATCTTCCATATGTCTGGAGGGTAAAAAATAGCAGGTACTGACAAACAAGGTTATTTCTTCAAGAGTGATTTTTAACTAATTTGGAAAATTTCCCATGAAAGGCTTTTTTCATCCTGTCTCAATTTTTTAAAAACTTTAATTGCTGGTTTGGCTTCTCTGGATGATCATTTATTAGTCAGGCACAGCATCTCAGGTGGCTGTGGGAACCTGCCAGCCACTCCCAAATGTGCTTTAAAACATACAGTAGCTCCATCTGTCCACTATTAACACCATTTTTGATGCCTGTTCTTGCTTAGATGTGGCTACAACGTAAATTTGCCTGAGCATGCTCTGGTCTTTATCAAATGGGAAGCAGCTGCAGCTATTTAAAGAGTTTCACATGTCAAAAATGAAGTAGTCTAAAGGAAAGTTGTCAAATCAAAAAAGAAAAATTATTATTATAAAATCATTAATGGTGGGTTATTCTCTAAGCATGCTGGATGAGTTGAACAGCATCCAGGACACAATATTTGTTTAAACTCAATTTTCCCTTCTCTGGTGTACTGGTTATAATAACAAGGCCAAATCTACATTATTTTTTGTTATGAAACTAGCACATTTTATGTGAATTTCTCATGTTACCTGGTCTTAGTTAGAAGTCAGAGACATACAGTTCTAGTGATTAGAATTTCATATCATGGTTTACTGTGGCTTGTGCTAATGATTTTGAGTGTGTGTTAGTGCCAGGCATAGGGAATCAAACCTGTCAAGTTTTTAATAGGTTTCATGCTTTGCAGCACTAAACAAGATGATAACCTTGGCTCCTTATAACAACCCCAAATTACTTGAAATGTATAGGTGATAAACCCAGGCTCTAGTCTGCCAATAAAGCTAAGTGAAATTGCACACAGATCATCAAAGTGGGATCTCATTTCATTTACAGTATCACACAATCCACTGGTGCTAATGTAAAACCTACATGACATGAAAGTGGCAGGGCTACTCTGCACTGCTAAAGGCTCACTTTTCTCCTACCAATTAGGTAATATCTGAAGTGCAAAACCATGACCACATTTTCCTTACTCTGGTAACTTTATTGGCAGACTTTTGTTAAAAGTATACCTCTTCCAGGGTGTTTTTTCAGAATGTTGGTTTTCATTGCACTTGCTGCTGAGAAAATCTTTAATCCCACCATTTAGAGTGTTATTAAGAAGAAACCTCTTTCAGATGTTTCAAAATGGCTTTGGAAATGAAGCCATTACAGAGAACAGTTACCAAACCAGAAGTCAGCTTGTTTATTGGAGATAACCCTGGAAGCAGAGCTGGAATAGTGTGTAAGGGCTGATCCTGAGGAACACTGCCCAGGTGCATGTCTTAGCTTCATTTTCCTGTACAGCTGGGAACATCCTCAGAAGTGATAAATGCAGACTGTGACAATGTAGAGTCTTAAGAGCACAGGCCTTGAAACAATCTGCTTGTGTGATGGAACTTGCCAAATTTGTAGAAATCAAAGGAGACATCAATCAGTGCCCTGCTTTTGAATGGGCCAGTCCCTCAAACCAAGCCTGTAGCTGCTCTCCCTCACACATCAGCCATGTTTACCTGGAGATGTGCTGGGGGATAACAGCCTTCATGGGCAGGGGGACAGCTGAGGACACCTGCAAACATCAGCCTCAGATGGCTGAGCTTCTGTTCCAGAGGCATCTGAAGTAACCAGTAAAAATTGGAACTTCAGAATCCAGTGAGGAACAAAATTCCTGAGGCAAGGTGCCCTCAGCTCTGCCCAGCAGCTGCTTTAAGTTTCTGAGGGAGCAGATGTTCACAGCAGAACATTTTCCTGACTGCTTCTGCTGCTTCTTACTGTTCTGTGTTTGTGAACCCATTCCTCTGCCTTACCAGCTGGAGGATGTAGGGGCTGCTCTCTCTCTGCCTTTTAGGACAATCTCCTACTCCTGTTCATGCTGTTCATCACCTTCCTCAGCCTCAAAATCTTAGCTGTGTCATCTTCACTCAAAAGTTGGTGGAGGGGAAAAAAGAGGAGGTGTGTGAATTACCCAGCTCAGAAGCATTGCAGCCCCTCCCTAGAGAAATCTCTGGGCACATTTTTACTGGGAGGACACAATGGCAGCCAATGGAGCAGCAACAGGGAGACAGACAGGCCCTCACTGGATTTGGGAGCACCAGAAAGTTTAACAGCTCTGCAGTTCTTTCCCTCACTTCCTTTTTGAACCTGAAGGATGTTCCAGAGCCTTCTCCAAGTGTAGGAATGTGCCTCCTGTTGAAGGAATGACAAAACTATCCTTTGTCCCCTTAAAAAGGAAATAAGCCCAGAAGTTTCTCTCCTCAATTAGGTGAAAAGACATCTCATAGGGCCTTGAGGACTTCACCTCAAACTTAAGGATTCCTAATTGGACAGGAGCCAAAAAGTCCAGCCTGAGAATTTACTAGAAAAAGAAGAGAACAAAGAAACTGATGGCTTTTGTGAGGTGTTTTACCAGGGGCAGGAGGGCCTCTTGCACCTGGATTGGATTTTCTCTGTAAAGAGTTTTGTTATTTTGCCTTTTATTAAAACCTTTTTGTTTCCAACACTACCACAGAAGCCAGTCTGCTGATTTTATGCCTTCTAAGGTAGCTGAGCTATCTTGGGTGTGAAATAGACCTCCAAGAGTTTATGAGACCTGGCTTGAGGAGACTCATATTTGATCCAAGCACAGCAGGAGATGCAGAGGGCTCAGGTCTTGCCTATCCCGAGGCAGCAGAGATCCCATTTGCAAGTGATGTGTGAGTGAGGTGTTGGCCACACTGTCCTGCCTGTGCTGAATTCTTCTGCAGCAGAAGCCTGTCCTGGAGAGATAGACAATAATCTCTGGTGTCTTCCTAAATTAGAGTTGTTCTTGTGGATTAAAAGCTGCTGCTCAGGAATGGGGATGCTGCTGGTGGGAGCAAAAGAGTCTAACTCAGCCCACATCTGATGAAACAGAGTTTTAGTAACCTGTGGAAGCTCACATGAACTGAACAGCCAACCCTTCTCTCACAAAAACATTCTGGCTTGTGGGTTTGATTTCATAAGGGTTTCTGAGTATTAATTTTTTAGGATCTTGTTAGATACTTACAGGTTTTTTTTTCCCTGAGAGCACTTAGGTGCTTTTGAAAATCAAACTTGCTCCATGTGGCTCTAAGAAATAATGCTGGGAGGGTGGAATACACAGCTATTAAATTGAAAGACTTGAATTTGTTTACTCCTGTTAATAAAATCATTGCTGAATTAAACTATTTATATTGCTGCAACTAATTTAGTTAACAAGACAAATTTGTTCAGCCTCATCAATGCCATGCTCAGAAGCCTGATAGTGATTAATCAAATTCCCCAACATTCATAAATGTTCTCTGAGATTGAGTAGACTCAACAGAAATATTATTATTGTTTTGTTTCTCTTTCAGAGGGGCCATGAAACGGGTCATGAAAGCCATGAACCGGGTGGACCAAAGGAAGCACGAGAAGTTTGCCAACCAGTTTAACTATGCACTGAATTAAATTCTTAATCACCTCTGCCCTTCTTTATTACAAGAGTGCAACTGCAAAACCCTTAATCAAAGATATTTGTATTTACACTACAATACTTTGCTAAGCACGTTTTTATGGGTGTCATTTTTAAATTGTTTCCAAGTTTAACTTATTTGATAGAGAATATTAATTTTGGAAAAGATGTGGTGCTGTGGAATTGAATGCATCTAAAAAATTGATAATTATTTGAAATATGCATGAAATAGAGATGTTTTATGACTTGTACATAATTTGGATAAACTGTTCGTGTTTTGGGGCTTGTTCTTTTCCTTCCTAAGGGACTCATGTAATTTATACTTCCTTTGACAGTATGTATGTTTAATTTTCCACTTCCAGGCCTTCAGGGAAAAAGATACTTTAAAAACAATTTGATTGCTGCCAGGGAGGGCAATGCACAGAGCATTTTCTCAGCCTTCTGTACTAACAGAGCCACACCAAGCAGCACAGCAGCTCCTGCAGCACCTCTACAAAAACCTTGGTGCACAGTAAAAAAATCCAAGTCAATTGATGCCTTCAGATGATAAATGGAGCAGAGTTTGATTTCTGCAAACTGAATTCCAGGGGCTAAGTCAGTCTTGGTAGCTGTGGCACAGATGGGAAAGCTGAAATGGCCAAGATCATCCTGGCCTGCTTCTTCCCAAAATGGCATCCCAGTATCTCTCAGAGCTGCTCCTGGGCAGCACAAAATCTGTACAGGTACACAGAATGTGCTCCAGTTGAACTGCAGTCAAAAAAGCTCCAGTATCAGGTGAAAATGAGAAGTTTAAGAAAATCACTCAAGTGACACAAGTGAACTGCCTGGCTTGGAACAGATAAAATTACAGCAGGCTAAAGCCCCAGAGTCTAAGGACCTAGCTATAAACACAAGCACCTGGAATCTTCTAACTCCACAGAGTTAATGTACATTTGGATCCACTGTGGGTTGTAGTTCTTGGCTGGGTACTTAAACAAATCTCCCAAACTTGTTTGCTGGCTATAGTCCAGCTTAAGGAGAGAGAATGAAACAGTGACCAGTTGTGCTCTTACAGCACTTCTTACAGCTTTCTGGGTAAAGAAAATCCAGACAATCAGGAGGGTTATGTTTGAAAATCAATTTCAAAGTGACCTGCAAAAGTCTCTAATAATTGCAGAGTAGAATGGATTCTCTATAGCACAGGCTACTCACCTGTTGGAGGTGTTTTCTCATGTGTAAAGAGACTCTTAAGATTTAAAATTGGGAAAATTTTAACAACTCAGTGTAGCTTCTGATCACCTCAGACAAAAGCTAATTTACAGTTCTGCCAAATACTTTCTGACTTGCACAAGTACTGCATAGAAAGCAATTAATGCTGTCTTTTGATAATTTATCTTGCAAGAGCTCTCTCTTCATATTTTGTTCTTCAACACGTTGATATACTTCAGAAATACTGAAAATAAAACAATAAAGAGGCAGAATTTCAAGTAATATCTACTGACTGCACTGGAAAGTTAGCAAGACTGACACTTCTACTGTCAGTCTTGCTAATGGGCAGTGAAGATTTCAGGTGAAAATTGCATAAGGACAAAACCAAGTTCATCACCAAGTCAGTGGAATCAACTGCTAAACTGATTTGATTTCATACTAAGGATGAAGTCACACACACACACACACAAAATAGAAAACACACACAAAGTAGAAAACACACAAACCCAACAGCTTCACCACCTCACACATTAACATGTGACAGTAATCACTGGCTGCTGGGATTCCCAGACAGCCCAAATTTAACTGACACTTGGTGATTAACCTTCAAAGAGCCACAAAGGTCATTGTGTCACTATTCCACAGATTCTTGAGCCTGCAAAGGCTGAAGGTTTTACTTATAAAAGATGTTTTCTCCCTGTAAGAAGAAAAGGAAACTTATATTGTGCAATAATTAAGCCCTCTTTTGCTGGGACCATGAAATGTCAGCACTACAAAGTCCCCAGCAAACAGTAGATTCACTTGACCCCATGGAGTTCCCATTGTGGACCTTAAATAAAGATCCCAAAGACCAAGACTGGGAATGGAAACGGCAGAAAGCTGAGGAGGGGAAAAAGAAAGGTGTAGTTAGTCAGTTATGTTCCACTGTGAGCAGCCTGGTCTCATAGAAGGTGTCCCTGCCTCTAGCAGAAGTGATTAATCAAATTCCCCAACATTCTGGAAAGAGGTGATCTTTAAGGTCCCTCCTAACCCAAACCATGCTGTAATTCTAAGGATGCTACTCAGTCCCATCAGTTCTAGAATTATCAGCTAAAACTTCCTGTCTGGAGCCAATTGTGCAATCTGGCAGTTAAACCTGATCCTATCACATGATCTGTGTGCTTTCCCCCTTCCTTTATTAAAAGCATGCAGGGAAAAAAAAAAAAAAAAAGTCTTCCTGGAGTACCTCTTTCATGCAGAAGGAGAATTTTCAGAGTTAAAGTTCCCTGGCAGATGGCTCAGAAATGGCCAACTCAGATAGAAGTTCCTGGACTTTGGGACAGGTTGATGGCCAGTGATGACTTCTTTTAAAGCTCTTCTGGTGTTTTAACTCTGCATTTTTTTCTTCATTTTTTGCCTTGAGGCAAGATGAACCATTGATAGGAAAACATGCAGATTGCAGATCCCCTGAAGCACTTCTTTATGTTCCCCTGGTCCAGTGTGGGACAAACCCTTCCCTTAACCCTTGTTATTTACTGACACTTCTTATCCAATTATTTCTCTACAAGAGCCACTCAGCACATATACATGCAGCAGGTCTTGGATGTTGTCACTTAAGTATTCTTGTTAGACCTGGGCAGACATAATTCAGAGGGTTTGGGGGAGCTTTCTCCTTTTCCTGAGTTTATCTGTAGCTGTGCTGGAAGAAGAAATTTAAGAAAGCATCTCTCTCCAAAGATCCAGTATACCTCCACTAAATAGAAATCCTTTTATGTTCAAAAATTCAAAATAGATCAATCTGCTTTTTTGATACATCACACTTTTTGTGTGGCAGTTTACAAATCTGAGGCTCTGGGCTCACTGGTTCAAATGTTGCTCAACTGTCCCTGTGACATTTGTACTGAAACTTTTCTATTCCTGTCCTCAGGGCTTCTGGGGAAAAAAGAATAAAAAAAAAAAGTATCATTCACATAATCTCTGTGTGGTTTTGTCTGTAACTCACTCCAGCACCTTTGCAATTGTACTTGTGCTTACTGGGGATGCTGTGTGTGATTTCCAGGTACCTGTGCAGCTTGAGGTGATTTGGCCCTTGGAGTGTTGTTAAGGTGAGCAGTTGTAATACATGCTGAATATTGTGTGCCTGGAGGGACTCTGAGCTGAAGTGAGCTGTGCTAGTGCCTCTAAATAATCCTGATGCATCTAAATCATCCTGTCTTAACCAGGGTTGTGTCAGTGGGAAAAACAAGAACTGTAAGCAGACTTCTCTGTGGTTATTCTTACCTGAGCACATGGTTACACCTGGGGAACAAAAACCTGGAAGGAAAAAAGATCACAGAGTGTATGGCCTGGCACTCAAACACAGAGCTTTTGGTGGCATAAATGAGCTTGGTATGGACCTTGTGAGAATAAGAATGAGAGCCACCCTTCAGCACATCCAAGGTTTCTGGGGCAGGGTGATGTGCCCATACTCCTCTTTAGCACAATGCCTTGTGACTCCATTTTCTCTAAACTCACTTGAGGCTTGGATTTATCAACCTGGGTATGGCTGAAAATTTCTATTAGAAAACTGTAATACTAAAAAGTTCCTAGAAATCATAATTTAAAAATTTATTTGTAGTTCTTTTCTTATTGGTAAGCAAAACATACAAATGGGATTTGTAAGCAGTTGTACATGGACCCTGCCATGCAGAACAGTTTGCATGTTGGGGAAAGGCTTCAGTTAATCAAAGTGGGCATTATTGGAAGAAAAAAAAGAATGAAGACACCAACTTTGTTTTGTAGAAAACAAAAAGTAAACCTGTTCCATTTAAAGTATCTGTGGAAATGGGCAATAAGGCTGTTACTAGTTACAAGGAGCCTCTAGCCAGAGGCAAGAGGTGTTGAGTCTCAGGAGCCCAGCCAGCACAAAGCCAGTTCAGGTGTGTCACAGCACAGGCAGATGGGCCACCTGGTGGTCGCCCACATTCTGCAAGTGCCTCTTTGGTGCAGCTGCCTGTGGGCTTTATCCAATTCTGTTAGCCACTTGAAATGCTTTTACTCCGAGCTGATGTGAATGTCTCTGTAGCTTGTGCACCAGAAGAGGTAAGGATGTTCCAGCAATGCTTTAGTGATGAGAATCGGCCATTTAAAGCCATTCGTTTTGGAATGCCTCACACCTTCAGCAAAGTCACTGGCTTTGGATAGGCAGTGGCAGTCCTGGTGCACTTAACAGCTCTCCTACTGGAGCACACGTTCAGGAGGTGGAGCCCAGGTTCCTTCTCAAACTCAGAGGTGACAGTCCCATGTCCTGGTTCAGGGGACAGCCCGAGCCACCAGCAACTTAAAAGCAGAAGAGGTGGTAGGAGACAGCTCCCATCACCTGTTTCCCTGTGGGATCCAGAATTGGACCACTGTGAAGTTAAAACTGCTTCATGTAGGAAACTAAACAGAGAGTAAAAGATCTCTGCAGATTACAGTCCTAGACTGGGGCAAGGGAGGGCCAGATCTGCTTATTCCCTTGACTTCCCTGGACCTGCCAGGAAAAACACCACTGAATTTCATGGATTTGGGAGAGAGCTTCCTCTTGGATACCATCAGCAGCTAGATCTGCCCAGGACCCCATGGATACCAAAGCCAGGGAGAAGGATGTTACTCTGGAAACTTCTGCAGTGCAATTTCTCCCTATGTCTGTTCTAGGATGCTCTGGGACAGCTGCATTCAAATAAACCCAAAACAGGTAACAGCATTCTGCTCCTGGGTGAAAGTAACACTTGAATTTACATTTTCAAACAATCAAGTTCTACCCCAAGCAGTGCCCAAGGAAGACTCAATGGTGCTGGGAGTGCAGAGGGAAGCTAGTCCATAGCCAGGTGAGAAAGAAAAAACAGAGAGACTGGAGGTGTCAGGGAGAGGTGAGCCAGGAGCTAAAGGTGAAAAATCAGGGCAGTGTCCTTCCTGACAGGGACACCATCACACACCCCCAAACAAGAAAAGAATCTTTGTAACAGGAACAGAGTCAGCCACCAGTTACCTGAAGGTCCAGAAGATAAAAGGCAGGTCTGGAGCCAAATCAGCAAGGAGAGATCAGGGTGAGAGCTACAAAGCCAAGCACAGCCCAGCACCAGGGCTCAGGCAGGAGCCCCCACTGAACTGCAGCTGCCCTGTCACCACTGGAGGGTTCAGGGGGAGGCTCCTGCTGGGGCTCTCCCAGCTTTAGCTGTTTTCATGGCAGCCTGAGCACAGGAGCTGCAGCTGTGCCACATCAGGGCAGAGCTTCAGCACCTGCTGGGGTGTGGGATGGGGACACAGGAGGATTGCAAAGGTGGTGAGAGGGTAATGAGAGAAAAGAGATCCTGCTGGTACATTCAGAGCCCTTGGAGCACCCCTCTTACTGGATGTGGTGATGGTCCTGTTACAAAATCCTCTACAGAAACTGAAGGAATTAAGAGGGAAAAGCCTCAAGCAGCAGCCTAGGTCAGACCAGTGTAACCCCTCCCCATCCAGCAGCACCTCCCCACCCCTTCAGCTGGGAGAGATGTTAAAGATCCTGAAACAGCACATCCCCTAAAAAGTACATGTGGATGAGAGCCAGGGCTGCCTGGCAGCTGGACAAATTGTGACCTGTGGGATAAAATTGTTCTTCCAGGTGTGGGAGTGGGATGCTGCCCCTGAAGGAAAGGAGAAAGATGCCTCAATTACTCATGTTTCTGAGTTGATGCTTTCCCTCCTCTTCTTCAAAGCTGATTGAGTGGAGAAAGAAAAGGATTCATGTCCTTGCTGAGCCTTTCCTATCAGCTGGGTCTGGGGAATGCAGAGCCCAAATTCCAGCTCAGGGGAGAGGTGGGGGAGCAGGCTCTGCCATGCTGGGAGGAGGGCATGGGGTGTTTGTGCTAGAGACAGGCTGCACCAGAGCCTGGGCAAACTGAGCTAGGCTTATGTCAGCACAATCTGTTTCTCCATCTCTCAATGTCTGTGATGAAATATCATCATTTGCCTTTCTGGGTAGATTTCCCCTGGCTTTTCTGCCTGCCAGTGCCCTGAGCAAAAACCCAGCTCTCCTGTGCCAAGTGCTTGTATGATTTTCCATTATCATGAGGCATCCTCTCTGTTGAGGGGTTAAGGAAAACCTTATTAAATTTTTTAAAATGTGGTGCTAATTAGTTTAGATGTAATGAGCAGCATTAGACTTGTGGTGCCTTTGCAAGGGGTTGTTGAATAACCATTTCTGCCGACATTCCAATTTGCATAATGACAAGGTGTTGGCATTGCATCCACCATTAATTTGCTGTATTTATAATGCCATTATGGAGCCACT